AATCTCTACTCTGGTATCTGGAGACCTGGGCATGAGCAGCGAGCGCTCGTTAAACAACTCGTCTAGCCCAATGACCGGTACCGTCCGGCAGGTCTGCTCAGTTTCAGTGTAGAGGGTCCGAACTCTGAGCTGCAGGCTGAAACAGAGGCCGTCTTTAAGTGTTGAGGGCCTGTTGGAACCACTCCCCTACCAGACCAAGTAAGGCTGATGATCTGTGTCTGRCGACTCGACTGTCCCGGGGGATACGAACCCTCCCAAGGACCGGTACAGACYGGCGGGCTGCTCRSTGTGGCACAGTAGGCCGGAAAGGCTGAGTTGTGGGCTGAAAGCACAGGCAGAACCAAGCTGATCACGTCGTCCTGTCTGCGACGTTAAAGAATTCTCGTGGAGTTACGGGGGATCTCCTTAAATGCCTCCTGATCAGCCACTGGTTCAGTAGTGACAGCCATAGTGTAGGTCTAGGCTAGAGACCATAGTTGACAGGATCCCTGTCAGGGTTCTGTGAGTCTTAGATTGAGTCAGTAGGTCTGTCAGTCAGGGGTTGACGTCTACGTGGTGAGGTTTGGAACCACTAACCCAATTGTATACTTGTCACCATGGTTGAGACCCGTAGTGGGAAGGAGACTAATGGGCGCAAGAAAATATGGCCGCCTTAGTTAGAGAGAAAATATGGCCGCCTTAGTCAGAGAGAATAATGGGAGGAAAGAGCGTGAAAAGCAAGCCAAGCTAAAGGCTATCGCAGACGAGCAGGCGGCGAAGATGAAGAGATTGGAGGAGGAGATGAAGAGGGTACAACAGGAGGAGGAAGAAAGAAGGAAGGCTGCTGAAGCAGAAGCGGCAGCAGAAGAAGAGAAAGAGAGAATGAGAATTGAGAGTGGGGAAGGAAGTAGTGGTGGCACGATGAAGTGGGAGACAAATATTGAGCTGGAGAAGAAGATCAGCGAGTGGGTCGCTAATTTATCGTTGGGGGAAGACGAGGAGGCAGAGTCATATGTGACTAAGGATGAGAAGGCTGCACTGGCCGCTGAGTTAGCAGCCATGACGGACCCGATGGAACGAAGAGAGAGGGAGGAGGAACAAAAGTTAGCATGGAAGCTGAGAATATAGAGGGAGAAGAAGAGGAGGAGAGAGGAAGTGAATAAGATGACCGCAGCATTGGCAAAGGTGCAGGCGTGTAGAGCGGAGGTGTTGGCCAATCAGATGATAAGGCCAAGTGGGACAAAGTACTGTGCTATCTAGAGGTGTTGAGCAAGGCCTGGATGGAGGATCGCCAGGCAAGCTGGAGCGAGGATGTAGCGTTGAGTGCCATGCGGTCCTAGTTCAGGGATTTTGCGCGCGACATCGTCACCCACATTGGGGGCGAAGTCAAACAGTTGAGGGACAATGTAGGGAAGTTTTGTGAGGGCGCCATTCAGGGTGCCAAAGCTGCAGCCGCTGTAGAAGGAGAGGGCAGACCCCGTAAGGACCCAGTGAAACTTAAGTTCCCAGACGCGTACGGGGGGAAGAAGGACAAGAACTTTGACAACTCGGAGGCCAGTGTCAATAGTTACATTTACTTACAGCATATCCTGATAGAGAAACAAGTCCTCGTGGCCTTCCAGGCCCTGAAAGATGAAGCGGCTAGTTTCGCTAGGTCCCTTGCGCGTACAGCCGGTTGTGAAAACAACCTGGTTGCCTATTCCAAAGTTACCCCTCTTTCCCAATTCCTCAAGCTCCTCAAGGAGCGTTTCGCTGACCCAACGCGAGGCATTAGAGCCTCTGACAAGCTGCAAACGATCCACTCACGACAGTGGAGGAGTGCTAAGGCACTCAAAGGTACCATGGACGACTTGGTAACCGTCCCGGACCACGGGGTTACTAAGCCCCAGCTGGTCCAATTGTTTTATCGTGCCATTCCAGAGGCCCTACGCGGGCATTTCTTTGACAAATCTCAGTAGGCCGGCATAACTTACGATGCATTGAGTCGCGAAGTCGTCCTGTATGAGTCGAAGTCTATGCCAGTTACCACTTTCTGGCATAAGGACTTAGAGAAGGGGAAGAAGTGGAAGAATCGTACCATCTCAGGCCAAGTAAAGGCCAAGGATCACATGATCCTGACATCAGAAGAAGGTGGTACCGATGAGGTCCCATATGACCAGATTGAGTGGGGTCTTGAAGATGATGGCAGTAGTGTGGGGTAGGGGAGGTCTTACGCTGCTGTCGCGGCTGGGGGGAGGCCGCAAGGAGGAGGAGGAGGGCCAAAGGGGCCAGGCCATGGGTGGCCGAGGACCGGGCGCACAGGGGGTTGGCGGGCAGGGAAACCGCCAAGCGGGAGGTAGGGGTCAAGGTCCCCCGTCAAGTCGCCAAGGTTCATTCCGGTCCCCACAGCGAGGAGGTGGAAGGGCACCTCAAGGAGGATGGCACCCAGGCTTGCCACAGGGCAGGCCCTGGGAAGATTTGGGCTTGGACCAACGCGTATGGCAAGAACACGTGGACCGGGGTCAGTGCATATTC